TCAAACATATTGAGGGGGGGGGGGGAAGAAATGTGCGTATAGTTCGGCCGTCTGACCGTTAGAGGCGGTAATTTATAGAATATCTTTTGACTGAAATTCTCCTATACTCATCAGCGATCTTCCTACTTACTTATCTCTGATAATACTCAGCTGTAGCTTGAAAATACGTTCTAAGGCCGTGATTTTAGATGCATGTATAACAATACATGAGATTAATAAAATTTTCGATATCGATATCCAATTGAAAAGGATTAACACATTAATTTTATTTGTATGGCATTTCTAAGTATATGGTACTATATTTATTTATAATAACATAAATTTTGAAAATAATGTATATTGGAAAAAATACACGAATTAGAGAATAAGAGAAAAAAGAACCCTGGAAAAAGAGAGAAGAGAAGCGTTCCTAAAAGATAAGTGCGCAGACGTGGTTCTCGTGCTGGAATCGCTCGTGTCCCGTCAAATAGAGGGAGTGAAACAGCACCTGCTGCCATTCTGGCATTACGTCAATGGTAGACATTTCATTTGCTGGTTTGGGAGGAGTTACCGTGACCGCCATTGTTACAGCTCATTCGTATCGAAGAACGTGATCTGTGAATCTTTAGCGTCACATTGTCGAAACGAATCGTGTCCATTTTTTAGATTTCCTTAACGACGGTACACGATATTAGTGAGCGTGTTCTGAGCGTAGCATGTCCACAATGAATCCTGAATAGTAAGTAAACTTCTTTTTGCGCAGACATAAGTATATCTAAGATATGTTCATTTCATGAAATATATAATCAATTATTTATAAATGTAACAACGAACGAGGCTAAAAAGACAAACTTAATGCTATTAATGTTTTATACAACTACGTTAATACGAAAAAGTTTTGTTTAACGTTTACTATCTGACAGATTTACCATCCCCCTCTCTCTTTGTCTCTCTTTCTACCCATGTTCACAAGCCATATTTTAGAAATTCATTCTCTGTTGTTTTTCTTATTTTCAATTTTTGTATAAATTCATTTCTTGATCTGTGTTAACTATTTTTATTCAAACTTTAAATCTGGAAAACTTATACGCGAATACATGAAAAAATTTTTAAAAGTGATTTGAGAAAATTGATCTTGTAGAATGTTATAAAAAGTATGAGGCAAAGTTCGTTGTTACTTGTATTGTGTTTGAATGTTTTGTTAAATTACATGTGTGAAAATAATACAAATAACAATAAAATAAAGTACATATATAACAAAAAAACTGTTATGATTTTATATCTAAGATTTTAAAAAAGATTGCTGTTTTTGCTATATATTTACAAATTAATTTTTTTCCAGATTTCTAATTGTTATTCATGTTTTATGTTTATGATCAAATATATAATCATTATTGTGTAATACAATGTAATTTTATTTCCTGATTATAATAATCTTTTACATATGTTATTTATTGTTTAGAAATAGTTATGTTTATATCAATTAAGTTTAATTATTATAAATTTTAATCATTAAACAAAATATATCATTGTATACAAAGAATACTTAACAATATATTTATCTGCTTTTATGACCTTGTATTGATTGCTTTTTTATTTTGGAATTAAACAAAACATATTTAAATATTAACAAAAATAAATGTCATCGTAAATTAACTAAAATAAATTATAAATTGGAATTAATTATGTACATCGCTTATTTAATATAATTTAACCTTATTTATCGTAAACATCTTTTTGCAGTGATTACTTATTTAAGTTACTTTTAATTGGAGATTCTGGAGTTGGAAAATCATGTCTTTTACTCCGTTTTGCTGATGACACATACACAGAAAGTTATATCAGTACTATTGGTGTAGATTTCAAAATACGAACAATTGATCTAGATGGAAAAACAATAAAATTACAAATCTGGGATACAGCAGGTCAAGAACGATTTAGAACAATTACAAGTTCTTATTATAGGGGTGCACATGGTATTATCGTTGTTTATGACTGTACGGATCAAGAAACATTTAATAATGTTAAACAATGGCTGGAAGAGATTGATCGTTATGCATGTGATAATGTGAATAAGCTGCTGGTTGGCAATAAATGTGATCTTCACACTAAAAAAGTTGTTGATTACACAACAGCAAAAGTAAGAAAGCTATAATAACATTGACATTTTAATTGTATTAATTTCTTGTATAATTTTGTAAATAGGAATATGCGGACCAACTTGGTATACCATTCTTAGAAACATCTGCAAAAAATGCAATGAATGTAGAACAAGCTTTTATGACAATGGCTGCAGAAATAAAACTTAGAGTGGGTCCTCCATCAAGTGGAAACAGTGATCCTGCAAATAAAGTGAAAATAGAACATGGGCGTCCGATTGAATCCTCTAAATCTGGGTGCTGCTGAGAAATGTAATTTTACATCTTTGTAACCAAAGTAAGTTTTTTTATGTTTGCTAACAAAGACTATTAATTGTATAACTATAACTGAAAATTATAACATAAAAAATTCTTCTTTGTATACTAATGTTAAATCTTTTAATTGCAGAAGGACATCTTATGGTAGCAGTTTCATACTGCATTAAAAAACATTACCAAGAGAAACAAGAAAGATTGTGGAAGTTTCAGTTTATATTAATAAAAATAAGGTGTGAAGCATTATTATGGACCACCAACTCTGTTAGCAGAGTTGAATAAAACAAGTTTTGTTCTATCTTTTTTTCAAGAAAGGAGAACATAATTATTAACTTGCTAATTATCTAGTGCAAAAAACTGACATAGGAAAATTTGAATAACATTGAGGATCATTGATTCTATGCAATGATGCGTTTAACGGCAATTCGAATTTATAAAGTAAATTACATAATACTATGTATCGTGATTATAAAGATAAACATTCTTATTTTTTAGCGTAATTGTAACATGTATAATTGAATGTTTTTTGTCTTAGAAGGAAGTCATTCTTACTCTTTGTACTACCTAAACATTTTTCCACATTTTATTCCAAACTCTTGAGATAAACAAGAATTAGAGTAATAACATACTGAAACACGCCGTCATCGCTGCCTCCCTCTTTTTTCAGTGCTCATTAGTGTAATTTAATAACAATATATTAATAAATATTTCAACACTAATACAAAAAATGGTAAATAGTATACCTATACGTACAAGAATAATTAAATATGTTACATATGTTCCAGTTGGTAACTTCTATAAAGTTACGTCAATTTTTTAAATATGTGCTACTTATAAAATTTATAAAACTATTCGCCTATTATGAATACATCACGACGTTTGTAAAATATAGCGTTGGCAAATTCGATATGTTTTGTCTTATATTTAAACGGTAAGCTTATATTCAGAAAGCTGTGTATTCCATACGAGTTTGTAAGATGAAAATTTTGACAAAATACTATTTTCCTTTTATATTGGTTGCTTATTGTTCAAGACGTCTAGTTCACGTTTTTTATGTTACATATTTATTATTTCAATTGTTTTCGCTTTCCTATGATGAAAACATATGAAAAACATTTAATAAGTCAGGTTATTTTAATAAAATTTTATTCTATGCAATAATAATATCAAAAAAAACTTCATATACCATATATTATTCTAATTTTTATTGAAAAGGATAAAAAGAAAGAAAAAAAGGAGAAAAGACATATTTTGTACAAAACTCTTATTACGATTGCAAATGATCTTGCTTTTATATTGTTATTAAAGGAGGTTTATGAAAACAAAATAATAGAATATTTCAAAACTGTGTGGGATTTCTTTCATTATAATAATATTTGTTTATTACATGAATTAGTTAGTAAGAACGTATGAAGTTCTTCATAAGAAGGACGTATATAACAAGTAAATGTATGACTATAGAAAATAAAAATGTGTAAGTTGAGAACTAATTATTTCTTATTTCCCAATATATATATATTTATATATATATAATACCATATATATTTATATCCATATACTTTGTAATTTTTTTATTGTATTAATTTGTAATATTGTGTGGACTATGTATATGATATGAAATAGTATTCGATGTATTTAAAGATATTTAATTTGGTACATACGGGTACGTTCTTTAGTATAGTTAATGTAAGATAGAGTTAGACAAGGACGATACATATTCAGGCTATTCAACGATTGCAGAATGAAATGTTTTTTGTAGTACTTATAGATTTTAATAAATGATTAACAACAATCTTCTATTAAAATTGATATATTTTATATCATTTTTTATCAGCAAAATCAATATTTGTATTTAATAATAAAATTATAACCTTACTTTCATACAAGTGTCATCTAAACTTCGTCAAAATGATGCAACAATATATGAAAGAGTTAGAACAGGTAAATTATATATTAAAATAATAAATTTGAATTGTCCTTGTTTTATAAAACATTAATAATAATAATATCCTTTTAATAAAATTTTTTCAGGATCCATTTGATCCTGAAGAGTTCGTTGAAAGACTTGCTTGGAGAACAGTTAATGATACCACAAAAGATGATGGAAAAACATTTTTTGATCCTACAATAGTACATGAAACTTTCTTGCAAGCAATTAAAGATTTACAAATTTTACAGGAACGTCAACAAAAAAAATGTGACAAACTTGAAACAGCATTGAAAGATGAAGAAGCAAGGCATATACTAGAAATACTTGAGTTACAAGAAAGAAATAAACATTCTATTGATCTGTTTCATCAATTAGATGAAAGAATAAATCTTGTAGCTACTAAGGTTTTACATTTAGGAGATCAATTGGAAAGTGTTAATACTCCAAGAGCTAGGGCTGTTGAAGCTCAAAAATTAATGAGGCATTTTTCAGATTTTTTAAGCCCTGGACCTTTGACAGATCCAATTTTTACAGATAAGTCTTCGGTATATGTGCACCTGTTTTATCTATCTAATGTGTGATTGTATTGTACATGGAACAAGAATTAAAACTCTTTATTCTGTAATAGCTAGATGAAGCAGCAGATGTAATACAAAAACTCCATCTTATATCACAAGAATTACCATCAGAAAAATTTGAACATGCCAAGAAAAAAATTGCAGTTAAGTATGATGAGATTGAAAGAAATCTTATAGAAGAATTTGTTAGAGCACATAATAGAGAAGATGCCATTCGTATGAGAGAACTAGCATCAGTTCTAGCTCATTTTAAAGGATATTCTCAATGTATTGATGCATTTATAGAGCAAAGCCAAATGGGCTCATTTGGTGGAAAGGATGTCTTTCAAGATGTAATACCTATGTGTACAAAATATCATAAATTAATGCAACAAGTATTTACAAATCCTGAACAGGTGATGGCTAAATTTGTATTAAATATTTATCATTTAAGACTTCAGAAATATGCAGTTGCTAAATTAGCAGATAAAACTGACCCTGATAAGTACCTTAGAAATTTATATGATTTATATACAAGAACTGTGAAATTGTCTACAGAATTGAAAATGTTTAATATGGGTACTGATGATACATATCTTGCCAAGCTCACTAGAAATATATTTCAAAAATATCTGGATGCTTATATTATGTAAGTTCACATAAAGTGTAGTTAACATCTAAGTAAGTTCACATCTGTAATAGTCAAATGTTAATCAGTGCAATATTTTTAGCATGGAAACAAAAGTATTGAGGGAAAAATCAGCAGCACTTCTTATTGAATATTATGAATCTAAAAATCATCAAAAGAAACAATTACAAAGTGGTGGATTTCAAGAGTTAAGAAGAGACTTACAAGCAGTTTTAGGTGCAAGGACTAATATAAATATAGCACAAATAGAAAATTATGGGGGAGAGACCTTTTTATCAGAGGAACTTGCAATTGCTTTGTTACAAAGAAGTAAATTGGCATTTCAAAGATGTCAGTTATTATCAAAACCTGACGATATACCAATAAATGCACTTCAGATTTTGGAGATACTATTACAGTATTTAATAAGTGAACATGTTGATTATGCATTGGAATTGGGTTTACAAAGTGTACCAATTCCTGAAAGTAGAACTCAACCTGAGATTCATTTTTTCAATGTTGTGCGTCAATGTAACGCAATTGTACGCTTATTAGAGGAACAATTTAATGATAGTGTGATACCTCTTGTAGTGTAAGATTTACTTCATTTATTTTACATATAATTTTATTTTGGAAATATATATAAAATATAATCTTTTTAGGTCTACATCTAAGCACGGAGATTGCATGTTAAAGAAAAAAGCTGTGTTAGATCAAATAGATATGAAACTAGAGACAGGATTAGATAGAAGTATAAATGCTATTATTGGTTGGGTAAAAGTGTACCTACAAAGCGAACAACGAAAGACTGATTTTAAACTTGAAACTGATGTGGATACCTTAAGCACTCCAGCTTGTTTAACAGTTGTACAATATGTTACTGGAATGATTCGACATATTCGAAGTACTTTAGATGGGAAAAATTTAAATACTGTTCTATCTGAACTTGGAGTACGATTTCATAAAGTTATTTACGATCATTTACAACAATTTCAATTTAATTCTGCTGGTGCTATGTGTGCAATATGCGATATGAACGAATATCGTAAGTGTGTCAAGGAACTTGAAATTGATCTTGTTACTAATTTATTTGATACCCTACATGCTTTATGCAATTTATTATTAGTTAAACCGGAAAATTTGAAACAAGTTTGTACAGGAGATCAATTGGTATGTATGGTACTTTTAATTATAAATTTTTCCAGATTAATTGCAAAATTAAAACAGTTATTTCTTTTATTATTACAGGCAACATTAGACCGTAATGTTCTAGTGAATTTTATACAATTAAGAACTGATTATAAAACACAGAAATTAGCAAATTATTTAAAGGGTTTAGCCACATAATAAATTCATATCATCTGTAAATAGTCAACATTTTTGAAGTTCGTTATATACAGTATTTAGGATGAATACAACCAAAATAATATTATTGTATAAACTAAATTTTAATAAGTGAAGATATTGCTTTCATTGTAATAATAATGCTATACTATCTGCCCAGTTGTACAAAATTTTGTCATTATATAGTTAAACTATATAAAAGCAATGACTTCCTCAAATTTAAGCTTTGATTATATATTAGAAAATAAATAATTTCTTTCCTTTCCTAGTTTTATAATAAATGCTCAGTATGTATATATTTGTAGCAAATATTTATTTTATTAGTTTGTAAGATTGTCATAAACAATTGCAGTTTCTGTTATGAGAATTTTTCTTATTTTAGAGGAAAATGGTATGTATAGACAAACTTTGTCAAACTTTTCTATTTATATATTATTTTCATTTGGTTGTTTTTAATACAAATTGATGTCAGACAATTATTTGTTCAAAATTTTGTGATATATTTTTCGACGTATTACATACCACTTTAATTAAAGCACATTTTCATATATTGTACTAAATTTCGTAGTTGATCTCTATAATGTTATAGGAGAATACCATTTTTAAATGTATTTATGTGTACATAATTTTGTTTTAGTTTCCAATTTTAATGAATATTTTTATTAAAATAAATATTTTATAATTAATAAGTATTAAGATTTGGGGAAAAAGAACTACCAAAATATAACATTTTAATGACCTAATTTCTGTAAAGAGAATTTAGAAAGTAGAACTTATAGTATTGAAACCATACATTGAAGCAGATAAAAAAAATGTTTGTCTTGTTTATTTACATGCGTATTTTAAATATATTGCATTGTTTTTGAGGTTGTGTCATGAATTAAGATCTTATCTTCATAAAATGGATTGTTAATTTTGCAAGTGTAGAATACATGTTTATTTCCAAATTTATTAAATATTTAGTCCATTTACTAATGATCAATATTATAGTAATTGTTAATTTAGAAAAATGTTGGAAGTACATACAAAATATAAAATTTCCATATATTATAGATAGGATTAGCGATATAATATGAAGTAATATTTAATTATAAAATTTTCATGCGTAATTAATTTAACTGGATATTAAACTCAACCATCATTAGAGGTTTGTAATGTTCCATCAAAACATCACGAAAATCTTAAATGTTAAATAAATTGTTATACTAACAATATTAGTAATACAAATGTTATATATAAAAATTAAAACAATATTAGTGTTTTTTTTTAAATGAATGCAACATGGATATTACTAATATTAAGCATAATTGTAGATAGGTGTTGATAAAATGAATAGTACTAACAATAAGCTTCCATTTACTATCAAATTAACAAAATATAATATTGTAAATCTTCCACTTGTCATACATAATATAAGCGAGCATTTCCAAATTATTTTATTATTTGGAATATAGTTACACGTATATTCTACAGGTCATGAATTTAGAAAGAAGTTATGTTTTAAGAATACGGTACAAATATGTGGTAAATAAAATGTATGTTGTTTTAAACAAATTCATTAACTTATACAATATTAAATCAATAATGATTTAATAGCCAAAATTGAGTTATACATAAAACAGACAGAAAATTTACAATATGGAATATAAAATGGTCACAGAGAAAAATTAAATTATGAATTATAGTATTCATATTTCTAATACACACTTACATGAAGTAATGTCTTGTAAATGTACACTATTTGTGATTAAGTAATATATCAACCTTATGTTCTTAGTTGTAAGTCATCATATTGCAAACTCTTACTAGATTAACAAAGAATCTAGACATTTTGTTAAATCTTAAGCAGGAAGCCTCTAACTTTCTTACAATTAAAAATTAAAAACATTTAAATAATTCACACCATTCATTGTACCGTACTATTAAATTTCATTAAATCATCTAATATAATTCAATGATAACTAAAGTCTTGGTGTCTATTTGATTATAGTGTTATGAACCATGAAAATAAAAAGAAGAAGATGAATAATCTGATAGGTATCAGCGCATACGATAAGTATTAGTTTCATGTACTTGGCACAATTCTCCTTTGAAGTCCAATTCAATGCTGAAATCCAAATCTCTGTAGTTCCTTGCATTGGGCTTCATTGAAAATACACCATATATTTCTTCTCCTTTTTTAACTGTCATATATTCATCAAAGTAGAATACAGTTTGTTTCCAATGAGTATACTGTACTTCCGGTGCTGTACTAAAGCCAATACGTTTGTGGCACTTGGTGAATTCGATGTTAAAGAATGTAACTAATGCTTGAACATAGTCGTTTCTGCGAACTTGTAAAGTAAATGGCGATGAAAATTCCAGATCAGCCTTAGTTACTGTGTATAAATCAACTTCTTTAATGAGGCATGCATTTGTAACAACTTGTTTTGGGTCCACAACATCCACTAGAGGTTCACTAATTGCTACTTTTCTTATACTACTCATGTCAAATCCATATACATCATCCCACCAGTTTATTTTTTCATCTTTGTATTGTCTATCTTCAATGCCACAAATAAATAGAGTTGCTTTGTCAGGAAATAACATTCCATCTTCACAAAGCCATTTATCTCTAGCAAAAAGCACTGTGTCTAACATTGATTCATAAAATAAACAATAACCCATCCATTCAGAAATAATTATGTCAACTTTTTCAATGCCATCAGGTAGTGAAACTTCTTCAACTTTTCCTTTAAGTATTGTTATGACATTTGACAGCTGATTTGCCTCTACGATCTTTTCTGCATATTCAACAATATTAGAACACTCAATACCAATAACTCTGGCTGCTCCAGCTTTAGCAGCAAACATTGAAAGTATACCAGTTCCACAACCAATATCAAGAACGGTTTTTCCTTTGAAAAGGTGTTTATTATGATACATAGAATTACGGTAAGTCACTGTACGCACTTCATCCTTTAGCATTTCTTCATGAATTCCATAATGTGCATATGAGTCGAAATAATAATCTCGAGATGTCATATCATCCACAGAAATAGATTCCCTACAAGATGATGGTGTAGCATCTTTGTTTGATGCAGTGCTATTTTCTGTAACTTCCATAGATTCCATTTTTGATACCTGTAATAATACAAAAAGCCAAAATTAATAATAATAAAAAATGATGCATATATGTATTAATATAAAAATAAATAAATATCTCATAATTGAGATTAATACATTAATATTACCAAAATTAGATGAAAATGCATTATTATTAGAACAATTTACTTTTATAATATTCAATCGTTATTTAGAAATAAAAAAATATTATTTTTTGTTAAAGCATGGCTTTTGATAAAAAATATTAAAATTAATTGATTTATATATATAAGAAAAGAACCTACAATTATCTACTAACACGTGATATGAACTCATTATCTCAAATTAATATATATAAATTTCTTTTTCACTTAAATATAGTAAAAAAAATTATAATTAAACATTAATTACAATATCGTTCATCAGTAACAGGGAACGCAAAATTTCGAAACGATGAAATCGTCGAATATTCTTGTTTCGGCCGACACCGAGGAAACGTACACACGTGCCCGCCAAAATGAATGGCGTCTGTTTAAGATCGAATGATCAGACGAGATTCTTTACACGCACACATATTTCTATACCATCGTGTGATTAGTACATATATACCATACGCAATTGAATATAGTCAAATTTCCTTCGAATAATATTCATAAATAACCTCGAAATGATCAAAAATTATTTTTAAAGATATGTTTAGAAGAAGTAAGAAATGAAGATTGGACTAGTCAATTTGTCTTTAAGTACTTAGCAGTAGTGAAAAACTATTATGACAAACGACATTCAAACATATTCTTCTTTTAAAAATGTATTAAATATCGTATGTTGTTCATACGAATGTTAATATATTAATAAAATAATTATGGTGTTTTTGTCTCCAATTTTATGTAAATATTTAGCTTAAAACTTACTGAATTCTCTGCTGTGCACATGCCACTCTGGTTGATTTCTACCGGCACTTCATTACTCGACGCCATTTTGTTCCGCGTCACAGCAGACGACTACAAGCAGGGACGTAGTACGAAGGCACATGGCAAATTCTAAATATGGTTCTGTCAACAAATATTCATATAATGATTAGTAAATATAATTACCAATTTCCTCGTTCAATTCGTTTTTTATAATTTACAATTACGTTTAATTAAAACTTACGTATCAGTTTAATTAATATTCTAGTTAGATTTGGTTGTCATTACTTACAAATATAATTGAAAGTATGGCTATAACAATATTAATATTATTATATACGGTATTAAATTTATCTTATTTACATAGAAGTTTTCTTAGAAACTTTTGCCTGCTATTATAATTAATACTACTATTAATGATATTACAGAACTTTTTAAATGACAATAACAAATATATACAGTAATCAATTTTATATTTAATATGGTTATACATAGTATTGTTAAAGATTAAAATTAATACTTTTTATTAATACGAGCAATATATTATATTATATTCTAATTTAAAAATAATTTAAACATCTGAAAGATGTGCGTTATAACAAGATTTGGTTACAAATCTGGAGTTGTAATATTCTTCGTGCAAGATCATAGAAACTATTTAAACTATCGTTTCTTATATGTTTCTCATGTACTAGAATCGTTCCAATCTTTTTAGAACGCAGAAATTACATAATCCTTCGCACAATGCATCATACGATTATTTTACAAAAAATATAGATCTTAATGCAATGTTTTCTCCTATAAACAAATATATCTGTATTTTTTACAATCCACAGGATACGCACACATGAAATTTATTGAGAAAACTACACTAAATGTTTGTCGTTTGTACGAAACGTATTGAGATCACTTCTCGCTGAAATGTTCTAACAGAAACGACCATCCAAAATTGTGATGCTGTGGACAACATTGATACATCCCTGTCGTATGCGCAGTGCGGACTTTCTACTATTTCAATTTTTCTTGGAAATAGATATTCATTTATTTCGAAACGTTATTGAAAAATTGTAACTTATTTAGGTAATCCTATATTTATGGAGATCACGAATAATTTCACTGCAGGAGCGTAACTTTAATTTTGTATCTTTACTCAGTTGTTTTCAGAAAGTGCAAAGACATCATCCAATAGGAGTCGAGTGGCTAGCTGACAAGTTGCGTCGGGGTGGAAATGGGCAGGGAACAGGAGCTTGTACGCATTCGGGCCGTGAAGTGTTGGTTCCGCGAAGGGGGTCAGATTCTCACAGTCAACTGGAATTTTTCCTGTGTTGTTACTTTCAACGATATAATGTAAAACTGTTCGATTTTAATGTCACTCACGTGCCAGTGTCTTAAGATTATTTATATGGAGATCGTGGAGCGCTAGAAGATGCTGGTAAGGAAAAACAGGCGGGAGCAAAGTTGACGTAGAAACAAGTGCGCAAAGATTGTATAGTTGAGTTCCTTTCTTTTTTTTTCTGCCGCGTGCACAGAGAAAGTTAAAATCCGTGCTTTTGTTATGTAGTTACAACGCTTTCGCAGGTCATTTACTTCGGACGAATGTCTCGCCTAAAGTACCTTCGAGGTTACAACTATTACCTGATGTCTGAGAAATCGACAGGCTGTCACGAACGTAGTGGACTTCGTTTTGAAAACGTGGTTAAGATATCAAAGTATGAGTTTTATTTCAACGAAAACGTATCTTCGTGCGAAAGTTCTTGTTTATCGTAAGGCAATCTCGATATAAAAATAATCTTCGGTACCTGCGAGGCATGACCGCCTACATAAACAATAGCTCATCATACGAGGCAGCTTGCTTTTTATATCAATTTTCATGCTTTTATTATTTAAGTTCTGTCGTTAATAACAGCCGAAATAATGTTTTGTACGAGATTAGATCATAGTTCTTGATAAACCTTCAAGACCTAATAAATAATAAATAATAAAAAAAATTATTTCAAATTTCGTTAATATCATGTTGTCATTGTTATGATTTTTTCTTAAGACAATATATATGTATATACATATTCATGTATATATAATAAAAGATACTAAAATTTTGTCTTTATATGTATCTCTTTAGTTTAGACAGAGAGTGAATGTATGATGACTATGGAAGTATGTCATGAGCAAAAGTTAGATTTAAAAAGTACAAATATTAAATATACATGTATTTTCTGTTACAGGGAGACGATCCACCGTACCTATCAGTGGGTACGGAGGTTAGTGCTAAATACAAGGGTGCCTTTTGTGAAGCAAAAATTCGGAAAGTAGTAAGATCAGTGAAATGCAGGGTGACCTATAAACAAGGCTTGGGTACAGCAACAGTAGCTGATGATCAGATAAAAGGGACTTTAAGAGTGGGTGCATCTGTTGAAGCTAAACATGGAGATAGAAAAGAATTTGTGGAAGCTACTATCACTAAAATTCAAGATTGTAGTCAATATACTGTAGTTTTTGATGATGGAGATATTACTACATTAAGAAGAACTGCACTTTGTTTGAAAAGTGGAAGACATTTTGCAGAGAGTGAAACTTTGGACCAACTTCCTTTGACACATCCAGAACATTTTGGAAATCCAGTAATTGGAGGAAGAAGGGGACGGCGGTCTAGACAAGCACAGTGAGTGTTGTGAAATAATGTCAGCAATATAATTTTATGAAGTAATTTGTGTTATTACTTGTAAAAATAATTGTTATAGAGATGAAAGTAGTGATGATGAAGATAGTCCTCCACGAGGGACTCGTGATTCAGGTTCTAGTGGAACAGGCAAAGAAGGAATGGAGACAGAACCTGAAATTGGACGAGTTGTATGTGTGGAACTTGGAGATAAAAAGAAGAAAGATAATTGGTTCCCTGGATTAGTGGTTGCTCCAACTGCTCAAGATACAGTGAGAATTCGAGTGAGAGACGACTACCTTGTGCGATCATTTAAGGATGCACGATAGTAAGTATGATCTGTGTTCATATATATGTCGGAGAAGAGTCAGGACTAGGGTTGTGGGCGTTTGATAGACCTCCCTTGGAGTTGGCCATCGTTGTGTTATAACGAAGATACGGCCTGATACTACGAGTCTGAACACTACTGATTCGACAATCAATGGTGGACAATCAGTGGTTGGGCACTTGCCATGCTAATGACGTTGGTCTTAGGTTCGATAACAAATCCACGGTCAACGGGATGATAGGTATACTTACTCTAACTCAAACGTGTCCTACTCACTGATCGTAAGGCGCTACTCCCTTCGTCCATGAGATCTCAAGAAAGAATGACTTTTCGTCCCAATGATGCCACAGAGGAAAACTATGATGGGGTGTGTCTAAGGACACGAGATCATCGGATTCGTCGAGTATAGCCCTCGTTCCGAAAGTAAGGGAAATTGACGTCGCTGTCAATTGGTCAATTTGGGACAAAGACTGCCTGTCCGTTTGAAAATCTTAATTACCAAAAAAACCCAGGTTTTATAGCGGGTCCTCGGGCTAACTGGACTTGTGCTATGTAAGTGCCTCAACATCTGGTATTCATTGTCCGAAGGAACCGTTGGCATGTTTTACTGTCAGGTACCTTTATGGGTATTCTTTTAATGAGGGTCATACTATCGCTCCATACCTTTGTTGGATGAAGCGCCTGTCCCGTTGACCGCGGCTACGTTCGGCGGCTGATGGTCGCCTTGAGCCCAAGTTTATTATCACAAATCGCAAACAAGTACCATTGGGCAGAATGACGGCAAATTGTTTAATTACAACTGTAAGCTTTAATTACAATTTTACGGATTTTCCTGAAGTTCCAGAGGGAATGCTCCGGTGTCCTTTCATCTCCGACATATAAACAGATTTTATGGAAAATATGAAAAGAAAGCAAAATGGTTGAAATGGTAACAAAATATTTTTTCCCCATTAAAGCTTATTCTAAAACTCTATAAAATCTATTTAAATGTATCTGTTAAAAATCAGCTGTACATTGATACTTATTTCATTATTTTCTATTGTATTACTGTTACTCTTTGCATATTTAGTTATACAGTTCCAAAGAAAGAGGCCACTGAATTCACAAAAGAACTTGTCAACAAAGTTGAGAATAGTACATTGAAGGTTGCAGTAGAGAAGGCATTGCTATTTTTAGAAAAGAATGAGTTACCTCCCCATTGGGATAGAGATTCTCTTTTTGGACATTCTGTATCAAGTGGAAACAGTGACTCAGATGGGGAACTTGATTCTGATGTAAGATCTCTTTTACTAATTTCAATAAATGAATTTAATTTGTTGTAAACATAATTTATTTTCCAGAGTTCTGACGATGAACCGCGTGAAGAAAAAGATCACTTTGTGGCACAACTGTATAAGTTTATGGATGATCGTGGTACACCTATTAACAACTGTCCAATGATAGGTTCCGAGGACATAGATCTATACAGGTTATTTCGAGCTGTCTATAAGTTAGGCGGTTATAATCGTGTAACAAATCAAAATCAATGGAAATTAATAACACGCCGCTTGAGCTTTACAATGCAAAATTCACCATCGACGCACAATTTGGTTAAACAGGCCTATAAGAAATTCTTACATTCCTTTGAAGATTTTTATAGGAAGTTAGGTTGTACTATGGTAAATCATCCAAGGGGTACTATGCGTAAACAACGTCCTGGAAGAAGTCTGATTAGGGATAAAGACAGAAATACGCCCGTACCACCTCAAGTGTCGATCATTAAAAATGAAAAAGAAGAAGAAGATAAAAAGATCATGGAAGAAGAAAAGAAAGAGAAAAAAGAAACTAAGAAGGAACAACCAATAAAAGAAGAAGAAATTGTGAAGATAAAGAAGAAAGATGAATTTGAAGAAAGCGGTAGCGGACAAGACAGTGACGTAAACGTTGAAGGTGAAGCTGAATCTTCATCTAGCAGTGAAAAATCTCAAAAAATTTCAACATCCTTATCCTTGTCAAACAGAGGCAAATCTAAAAATAAAGAAGATACAAAGAAAAAAGTAATAGAAAAAAAGAAAACTGAACCTAAAAGACAAGAAAAGAAAGACGATAAAATGAAAGAAGAGGATGCTACTAAAACAAGATCTAAATCTAAAGATGATAATATAAAAAGTAAAATGTCTTCTGAAAATAGGGAAACACGAACTCCATCGAGAGAATCGGAAAGAAAAACTTTATCTAAGCAAAGACGGTTGATAGATGAAGATTTAAAGAAACGGGGGAGAAAACGAAAGGAGTATGAAGCAGAAAAATCACGTACAGACGAACAGTCAACAGATTCAGCTCCTTGTTACAAAGGACCTGTAGAATTAGGAGATAGACTAAAAGTATATTATGGACCTACTCATGAATCTAAAGTTACTTACGAAGCTAAAGTTATTGATATGGAAAAAGATGGTACAGAACCAATGTATTTAGTACATTATACTGGATGGAATACGAGATATGATGAATGGATTAAACCATCGAGGATAGCACAGAATTTTACACAAGCTCAAGGTAGAGTAAAACGAATTAAAGCTAGTTCACGACCTCAAACTCCCAGTACGAATTTATCAAATAACATCAATAAGTCATCAAAAATTGTTTCTAACACTAATTCAAATGCATCTCAAAATCGACGTCGAGCGCAAAGTGTTGCACCTACTACATCAGTTGTTTCATCTACTGCGACAAAAGAAATCAAGAAAGAAGATAAGGAAAAAGAAATATCTCAACCGACTAGATCTACGACTCCATTGTCTGTTATAAGTTCTAGTTCTAGAACCAAAAGTCCAGCAACACCAGCGAACAATCGTCAAACACGAACAAGAAATAATGATACATCTAGCACAGAACATCGAAGGCGTACTAGGAGAACTTCTGGACATGCGGATATAGTTCCATCGGAAACTGAAGAAAGTGAAACATATGATTCAGATACTACAGAATCTGAACAAACAAGAACGAAATCTAAGATTACAGAGGAAAG